TCTTACATATGCAGTCCAGCAGCTCTGCCTCCACCTTCATGCCCCCCGCAGCACCCATCTCACAGCCATGAAGAGGGTTCTACGGTACATTCATGGTACTGCTACTCATGGCATCACACTTCACCATACGGGCACAGATTCTTTGCAGGCCTACTCCGATGCTGATTGGGCTGGATGCCCCGATACTCGTCGCTCTACCTCGGGGTACTGTGTTTTCCTTGGAGACAACCTTATCTCATGGTCCTCCAAGCGCCAGGCCACCACCTCCCGCTCCAGTGCTGAGGCCGAGTATCGTGCCGTGGCAAACACCGTAGCTGAGGCAAGCTGGGTCCGAAATCTTCTCCTTGAGCTTCAACAACCCCTGCGGCGTGCCACATTGGTCTTTTGCGACAACGTTAGTGCTGTGTATCTGTCATCAAATCCAGTACAACATCAGCGCACCAAACACGTAGAAGTCGACATCCACTTTGTCAGAGACAAGGTTGCCCTAGGACATGTCAGAGTGTTACATGTCCCCTCCTCTTCTCAGTATGCAGATATTTTCACTAAAGGGCTTCCATCTCTTCTCTTCTCCGACTTCAGACATAGTCTTGGCGTCCGTCCTTCGCCGGTCACGTAGTTGGGTGCATGTTAAATATGTTATGTATATATTTAATATTAATTATGTGATCATTGTAATTATGGTAGTTTACATGTATAGGTTTCCTTACGTAATTAGGAATCCTTTGTAACTATATATACGAGGCTTCTCCCTCATTATTCCTGAATATAGAAAATAATAATTCTTCATTAACTCTATCAATGCTACAAGATGTAGAAATGTTGTATCCGTTGTGATAATAAGACTGTTCTTTCAAATGTGTGTTCTTTTTTATTACAGGAAGAAGCTCTGGAAATGCTGGAAACTATACCATCACTCAGTGTTTCCCAGGGTGTAGCTCATCCATTAGGAGTATCAGAAATTGAAAACGGGATTAACTTTGCAATTTTTTCTCAGCATTCTTCTGGAGTTACTCTTTGTCTAATCCTTCCCGAGAGGTTCGAATAACATTTCTTTACATGTGAAATGCCAAGGGTTTAAATTTAAACCAAGTGCTTGTGTTTTTTGTTTAGCAGCTCTATTGGAGATTTCAATTTTCGGACTTCTGTCTTTTTTAGGGTTGTTGACAAATTTTATCTACCTGTCTTCTGATGTTCGTTGTAGCGTTCCCTTCTTTTTTATTATCTTCTAGTCTTCTGGATATGATTGCGCAAATAATATCCATGTATATGTGTACATGTATGCCTTCGCTAATCGCAGTATTTGCAAAATATTTGTGCATTTAGGACACTACAGGACAACCTTGATTCTGGGACCTATGAACTGGCATTGGATCCCCAGATGAACCGAACTGGGGATATATGGCACATATGTGTTGAGGTAGTAACAATCATTGCTCTAACATCACTTTGTTGTGATTTTGAAACCGAGTAAATGGAGTTATCACCTCTTGCATATTTGAAACATACTCCATATTTTAAACTAAAATGAAGAGAAGAAATCATTGGAACAATGAAATTGCAGTGGAAACAAATAGAATGGATAATTGGATATAAAAATGCAGCATTTCTGTTTTCATGATTTAGTAAGAGAGAAGCATGTGCCATTCTCTGAAGTTTACATCTATCTCAGAAATTCAAGTGCAACCCTTCTCAACTACGATCTTTCAAGAAGTTTGGTTCGACACACATTTTAGAAAAGATTTTAACTCTAAACAATTCACAAAGACGATCATTGGCTAGTGGCTACTGCCTGATGTTTTACTATACTTGTATGTGCTTACATAAGGTTGTCTAAATGGATCTCTCCAACTTATTTCTCTCTGAGAGTGTTAATATACTTTTCTCAATGTAATTGTTCGGTGTTATTATCATTATTCTGAAGTTGCCTTATTTAGTGTTTTAATTGATTATATTTGTTTCATGTGCATTCTTATGCTTTTCGGCATGCAGGATCTTCCCCGTAGTGGAGTACAGTATGGATATCGTATTGATGGTCCTCGGAGCTGGAATGAGGGACATCGATTTGACTATAAAAATGTTTTAATAGATCCCTATGCAAAACTTATTGAAGGCCGTCGGCTGTTTGGAGATGTTAGCAATAGGATGTGCACATTTTATGGAACTTATGATTTTGATAGCTTGCCTTTTGACTGGGGTGACAACTATAAGCTTCCAAATATCCCTGAGGTATATTGAGCCATGCAGACATTATTAGGTTCATGTCAAATTAGTAAGCTTACATGGGATATTTAAGCTTTGCAACTGTCTAAATAGTCTACTTATGGAGCTTCAAATTCTCATGCATAGCATGCCATTTGATTCATTTTATTCTCTCTATATTAAATGCATTGCCTGTAGCAACTCAAGCCCATTCTTCAAATGACTGATCATCTCACTATTCAACATGTTTTTGTTGGTGTTTCCCTTTTTATTTTTGCAGAAAGATCTTGTGATATATGAGATGAATGTCCGTGCTTTTACAGCCGATGAATCAAGTGACGTGGATCCAGACATCAGGGGGAGCTACCTTGGTGTGATTGAAAAGGTAATGTCTATGGGTTTTTAGTTTCACATAATGTTCCACACTAGTAAGGATTTATATTTTTTCTCATTGGCATGTGAAGATTCCACATCTTTTAGAGCTTGGCATCAATGCAGTTGAATTACTGCCTATTTTTGAGTTTGATGAATTGGAATTCCAAAGGAGACCAAATCCTAGAGACCATATGGTAAGCTTTGACTTTACGCCCTCACTTTCATACTTTTATTGAATTGTGTTATTACCACCTATCAATTTGTTACTTCCTTGCTTGTCATGGCTTACAAGTAACTCTGCTCATCTTGGTTTAATGTGATGAAATTTTCTTTTCAAGATCAACACGTGGGGTTATTCTACAATTAATTTTTTTGCTCCTATGAGTCGCTATGCAAGTGCTTCTGGGGGTCCTGTTAATGCTTCTAGGGAGCTTAAAGAAATGGTCAAGGCCTTGCATGGTGCTGGGATAGAGGCATGTACCTCCTGAGTTCCTGTCAAACAACTTGTTGTATATGCTTTTTTATGATACCCTGAGTTGTTCACAATTTCATAGGTCATTTTAGATGTTGTCTACAACCATACAAATGAAGCTGATGATGAGAATCCATACACAACATCATTTCGAGGCATTGACAACAAGGTGATCTTGGAATCCAACCTTGTATCTAGGCTTTTATTTGTTTATGTTACTGCTTTAGTTTTTCTTACATATGTTTCTTTGAAATCATTTAAGAGGCTTCAAGAGATGGAGTCATATCTTTATTGAAGTTTCTTACTTTCTCACTACAGCGTGATTGTAGAAATCTTTTTATGCCTTCAAACCCTTTGTTAGTTTCTGGAGTTCATGGAGATATTCAAACTGCCCAGAAAGTTATTGTCGACAAAATACGGGCAATATAAAAATGAGGAAAAGATGGTGCATGTCCCCCCGATTGGTAGTTAGTATATATGGTTGTAACTAGAAGCTATGATTGTATGCCCGACTAATTTAAACTAATTTTTTTCATTGTAGCATCTACTACAGCTCTGCCATCCTCTTCAGTTTATCTTTCTCTTGTAAACAGCATTTATTTAATTTCATGATGTGCAGGTTTATTACATGGTGGATTTAAACAACAATTCCCAGTTGTTGAACTACTCTGGATGTGGTAATTCTCCTCCGCATTCACCATAATATTAAATTTTAATCATCATCATGAATAGTACAATGTTTTAGCTTGGGTTCAATAGTGGACTAAATCAAAATGACGCATTAGACTAAATCATACTTCTTACTTTCTATGAAGTTTCGGGGCAATAAATGCATCAAGGGTCTAGTGGACTCTGTTTTGTTTCCAGAGGGGCTAAGTTGTGTACATCTTGCCTTCCATACCTTGACGAAGTTTGAATTCTACTAGGCTTGTTGTTGTTGTTGTCATGAATAGTACAATTTCACATTAAGTGTCCAAGTGAAATGAACACATTTTTTCCAATTAAAAAATGTCTTTGCATTTGTCATTGTGGAGTAAATTTCATTTGGTACACATGAGTTTTGCATAAGGTTCATTTTGGTCCTGAGAGCTTTAACTATTTCAATCTAATCTTGAAATCACCAAGTTGTCCAATACCACGTCATTACCAATATTATGTATCCGTGTTAGTTCCATGTGCTGAATGAAGTTCAAGTAGTATGTTCAGACCTTATTGGGAGGAAAACTTTAAGATCGAAATTGCAAATATAAAAAAGTTGATGACTTATTGTTTTCATTTTTTTGAAAATTTCTTCTTTTTATTTGCGTGCTTTGATGAACTTGGGTGCTACAACACGGCAAATTATTCCTTATTTTGTGTGTTTTTATTGGGACTTGGGTTTGAATGGTGGCTCTGAACAGCAAATGGTCATAGTGTCGATTGGAAAAGGAGAGATTGGCCATCTTAAATCATCAATTTGAAATGCGGAAGTAATTCTGAAGGAAATATGAAAAACGTCATATATTTGGCTAATGAAATGAACACTATACTGTGATTGGCATTTCACAAATGTAACTTGCTTCTAGAGTATTCAGTCTTATTTTTGGACAGCCTTGGTCTCTTGTTGGCTATAAGAAAATATTTATCATGTTTTTTTTCTTGTTGATATCCAGGAAACACATTGAATTGTAACCACCCTGTTGTGATGGAGCTTATACTTGATAGCTTGAGGCACTGGTATCTTTTTATTCTAATGCGTTGCATTGTAGACATGCACATGCTCATTGGGCCATGCGTCTCCAATTGTGTTCTTACCAATCTTTAGAAATGATGAATTGTATGAGAGACCTGCTGTTTTTGTTGAGCGTGTGTGCATGCATCTGTTTGCTGTTTTTTCCAATTCGATACCAATTAAAAGAACTGTTTTCTTTCAGATACAGCTTACATGGCTATGCATAATCCATGCCTTTTGTCATTTTCTGTTTTGTTTTTTTGTTTTAATTAAGAAAACTATATGTATAGCATTTTGGTTATATTTGTTATAATCCTTGAGTCTCTGAACAAATTGAAGGGTCACTGAATATCATGTAGATGGATTTCGGTTTGATCTTGCCAGTGTTCTTTGTCGAGGAATAGACGGAACTCCACTTGATGCTCCCCCGATTATCAGGGTATATAAAAGGCATCACCTCGTATGAATTTAAGATACTAGTGTTATATATATAGTGTTTCATTTATTTTAGTAACTCTTTTATGCTGCAGGCCATTGCTAAAGATAGTGTCTTATCTAGGTGCAAGATAATTGCTGAACCATGGGATTGTGGAGGCCTTTATCTTGTTGGAAAGTTTCCTAACTGGGATCGGTAACTAATTAATTCCCACCTAATGCCAGCAAAAAATGTCTCTTTTATTTGTTGCTTTTGTTAACCATTAGATGATGGTGATGAATTTTACTTATGCCATTGATGGTTTTTTTTATAATTCTTTACTGGGTGGGGTGTGGCCTTAATTTGAAAATCATGTTTACAATTATAATTCAACGCCCTGAATAAATTTGTAATTGGAATTTGGGGTTTGAATTGGAGTTATATAACCACCTAAGACTCTCAGAAACTTATGTGCATAACTTTTTTTGATTACTACACGCTTAAAAATCGCCTTGGATGGCAGGAGTTCTTTCTTTTTCATATTAAATCTTGCATTGTTCTCTGTTCCTTTTTCCTAATTATTAAAAAAAATCATATCTAAGCGGTATTGCAGGATGTTATATTTACCTTCAGTTATTTGGACTGCAGGTGGGCAGAGTGGAATGGTATTTATCGTGATGATATAAGAAGATTTATAAAGGTAAAGAAGATCTAAGAGCTTTTTGTGCGATTTGCACTATTTTAAAACTCGTTTATTGCTTTGTTCCATTTGCAAATTTGGCTTTAGTGGTCGAAGAAATATTGATGCAATTTATGTAAAAATTGATTGCGGACTTGGAGCGAAATAATCCATGCTGCAGTCTCAACTATATTAGATCAAGGCTTGGTTTGAGTATTTTAATCCTTGGTTTCTAATCTCAATCAGTCTCAATCTCCCCTTCATCTCTTGGGGTTATCTTCATTGTTTATTTGCATAATTGCATCGTCTACTTTGGATTAAAAAAGTGCCAATATGTATGCACTCTTGGCACTAGTGGTCATATATATCAAACCATAGTAAAGTGTCATCATTTCAAGTTGGAGAAACCATATGTGACTTTTTTTCATTGTCCTGGCCAATGGTATCATCAACTAACCCAGTACAAACCCCAAGTTTCAACTCTCTCGGAGAGTGTGGGGGTCATGATGTAAGTGGCCATATTCCTGTAAAAGCAGAGATGTTTCCATTAGACCATTGACTACTGTCTAAACTTCATAAAATGTAAAAAGAAAGGGAGGCTTAATTTGTTATTTTGATTTATTCCATTATTTACCCTAAACTCAAGCATTGCCAAAATGACTCTTTCAGTTCTATTGACAATGGTATGACGATGCTAAAATGTATAAACTGCCCTATATAGAAGAGTCTTTAATCTGATCCCTCCAATATGTTCGTACCAATTTATACATTTCGGTCCATCCGAAAATGTTTGTCCCATCCACATTTCGCTATATTTATGTTTCTCAAATCAATCTCACAATTCCATTTCAAAAAAATGGTATGTCACTTTCACTTGTCCTAAACTTAGTGGTGTGGAGGGAGTATTTTTTTGTTTGTTTGTTTATTATTTATTAGTTATTTATGTATTTAATTAAATAGGGTGATGCTGGCATGAAAGGAAGCTTTGCAACTAGAGTTTCAGGCTCTGCTGACCTTTTTAAGGTATGCCCTAGAAATGGAGAAGCTTGACTTTTGGCAACAGAAACCCGATCTTCCTTGAGACCTTGAGTCAAGTCTCAAGTTAAAATTTGATTTTTTTCCTATGTGGCTATTGTCTTTCGCCTCTAAATTTTACTTTTATCAAATAAGGAAAGAATGTTTTGATTTTTTTTTATATGTACACGTTACACAATCGAAAAAGGAAAAGAAGAACTTTTAGGGAGAAATGGAATGTTCTTTGCTTCTCTTATATGAGTATATGTCAATATAATGAAGACTTCAATAATGATATGTTAAGAAGTTCAATAAATCCTTGTCGTTTTTTAATACTCATTCTATTGATCACACTTGCATCTTATGCTTCTTAGTTTCTTATTCATAAATGAATTTAAATTTTCATTAACAATTGCAACACAATCATTTCTTTAGTTATTAGTTTCAACATATTTATTGCTTTAATATTATGTTTAAGATTTCAAAATGCTAAGATACATTGCTAGATAAATGCTCTATCCGTCCCTAAATTAAAATCATTCTTTAATTTCACGAAATTTAAGAAAAATGTCGAAAAGTAACAAGGGGATTGTTAAAACTTGTTTGGAAGAGAGAAATATTGGGAGCCACACATTTTTTTCTTAAAAGAAAATGTAAGAAGTCCGACTTTGGGACGGAGGAAGTAGTTCTCAATATATACAATCTATGCTCTAGTTTATTTGTCCAGTTTGAAATTTTCTCATTCAAATTGAACAAAGTTTTACAGTTGATTAAATAAAAAATGTATTGCATATGAATACAATGAAATAATATTTTGAAAGTTTTTTGTAAGACAAATCTAGTGAAATCGTTCTTGTATTAATATGCAATACAATTTTTATTTAATTAATGATCAATGATCAGGGTTTGCCTAGTTTGAATAAGAAAATTCAAACTGGACAAGTACACTTAAACTGAGGCAACATACGTACATAAAGTTTCATTTTCAAATACAAATTATATTGTGAAGTAATAGGCATATATCTTAATAGATTATTATCAATATAACACCAAAAAAGCTGATTGAGTATATAATTTAAACTGTCATATTTTATATATGGATTAGAACTTTACTTTTTTTTTAAAGAGACACATAATCATCATAGTAATATTCTGGATCAATGAGATCTAGTTTCAGTCCTAGTCTTCCAAATATAGTGATTCTTAGTGCCCAGCTATGCATTTGGTAATATGGAGTCTTCTAACTCCTAAAGTTTACATAAAAGGACCTCCCGTAAGGTTCCCCTCCAATAAGTCCTAATGCAAGGAAATTTTTGTTAGATTTTAATACTTAGGGTAGTACTACTAGAAATACAATTGGGAGCTGGTGGTCCTCTGAATTCAGAAGTAAAAAGTTTGTGCATTCCTGAATAGTGATCTTCATTTAAACTAATGTTGTCAAGCAAAAATCTTGAGCAAAAACATTAAACCATGCATTCCTGAATAGTTACCTCATTTGAGCTAGTATCTGTCACAGGTTAACAAGCGAAAGCCATACCATGGTATCAACTTTGTCATTGCACATGATGGCTTTACACTGTATGACCTTGTGTCATACAATAATAAGGTACCTTAGAACCAATCGCCCTTGTGTCTTAAACCCCTAAGTAACATTTTCTAATAAAATTTGAGAGATAAATTTTCTTCTTCTTCTTCTTTTTTGGTGAAAATTACAGCACAATGATGCCAATGGGGAAGGTGGCAATGATGGAAGTAATGATAATTTTAGTTGGAATTGTGGAGTTGAAGGTGATTATATTTTTAAATGAATCCTTTTTCTTCCTAGATCTTCCCCTTCAAAGTTTATGAATGCTTAATTGCCATGTTCAGTGATGTGCATGATAATTTTACTATATCAATCTTCTAATGTGGCATGCCTTTAACTATCAACTCTTTGCTGCTCATGACATTACCCATGCAAGTGGTGATGATGATGAAAGTGAAACATTGTCATTGTTTTTACATAAGCATAAAATTTTGTCGCTGTTTTTTTTCTTTCACAAATCTATATTTAATAGTGTTAACTGTTAAGTGTTAACTAATCTTAGACAATTGGACCAATTGGTTGACTAATTATTATGCTATGATTCTAACCTAGTTAAGGTGGTGATGAACTGAACTTATTAAAACTTTGTGGCCTCTTTAATTGCTGGCATTCTTTTCACATTCCTTTGATATTATAATAATAACTTTTTCGTGGAAAATTGATACTAGAGCCATAGTTCAACCCTACAAGAGGGAGGGGCCGAGGGAGAGAGGGACACTGATTGAAATCTAAAATTTGTTGACAAAGTGAACTGCAGAATACTTCATCAATAATTCAATATATCTTCTGTAATAATCAATTCATTTGTCTTGTCTTGTAATTGTGAACAGGAGAAACATCTGATACCAATATAAAGGCGATTCGTTCAAGACAAATGAAAAATTTCCACCTTGCGCTGATGATATCCCAGGTGTCTAATGCATTATCTACCCATGCAATGACCAGGGTTTTGTGTGTTGCTTAAGCGAAACAGATGATATTCCTTTAGAGCTGTCATGAATCCATGAAAGACTAGTCTCTTGGGTTTGTGTGTGTGCATGCACATGCATTTTGTTTTTTGGGCAGCTTGGAGGAGAGAAAGTACTTTTTGCTCTGATGTAGTTTCATTTCTTTATATTGTTTATTTTACCTTACTGCTATGATCCCTTTTGCCCTTATTAGAAGACTTTAGCCACGCCCTGCTTGCACTGGAATACGCTTCTTTACTTCTTTGGTTGCATATCATTAGGGGACTCCAATGATGCTAATGGGGGATGAGTATGGTCATACCCGGTATGGAAATAACAACAGCTACGGACATGATACATCCATTAATCATTTCCAATGGAGTCAGGTATATAATTCATCTTATGATCAGACTCTTTCTAAAACAGCAGCAAAGCTCAAACCCATACCACGGGTTGTCAAAGACTTTTATTTTATGTAGTCAGAAAACAAGTGAAACTGTAATCTTTTGACCACAGTTGGAAGCAAGGAAGGATGATCACTTCCGATTCTTCTCAGAGCTGATAAGGTATCGCCTGAGCCGTCAACATTTTAGAAGAGAGAATTTTATTGGCAAAGTGAGTTTGTCTAGTCTGGCTTGTATATTCTCTTGATAATGCTGATCATACAATACAAATCCATTATAATATGAAACTCTGTAGCTTTGTTTTCGTTGGTACTTGTTGCATTTGACATGGAACTCTTAAACGCAGAAGGATGTGACATGGCATGAAGATAATTGGGACAATCCTGACAGTAAATTCCTTGCATTTACGTAAGAACTAAACTCTCATTGCTTCCTATATTCTCATCTACTACCCGTACAAAATTTCATAGACATTATGTTGAGATCTTAAAAATGGGGCGCCTTTTCATTTTATATTTTCGTAATATTGTTTATTAGGCTCCATGAAGGAAACAGAGGAGACATATATTTGGCATTCAATGCGCATCACTACTCTGTTATAGCGACATTACCTTCACCGCCAAATAACAAACAGTGGTACAGAGTGGTGAGTGTTTATCTTCTTCCACCTTTATGATTTCATTTTTCAAATGCTTTGTTTGTGCTCGCTCCGACCCAATTATTCTCCCTTTTTCTATTTCAAGAAAAAAGATGGTGGTACTGGTTTGGAACTGTTTGTTCTAAATGAAACCCAGCCACAAAAGACTCATTTTTTCTTGGGAACCAGAAAAAAGATTCATTTTTTTCTCAAATTCTGTGCCAAGACAAACCTAGAATATAAGATGGGGATGGTAGGAGGTTTTTTTTATTTGTATAGGCAGCACCTGAGATTAATCAAATGCAATGCTGGTGTGGTGGTTGCAGGTGGACACAAACCTGGAGTCTCCGAGTGATTGTGTTCGGGATGGTGTTCCGGGCATTGGTGGAACATACAACATTGCACCTTACTCTGCAATCCTCCTAGAAGCCAAACGTTAATCATGCTGGGATTTAGTTGTTGATACGATCCGGACCTATTATAAGTTCTTTTATATTATAAAGTCTCGGTTCGGATTACGTAATTTTGGACTCAATTAAACCCGACTACTATATATTCGGTACATAAATAATGATTTTAATTTTTTCAATGAGAGAATAGAAATAAATAATGTATTTACACTTTAAAGTGTTTAATTTGAAAGTCAAAATTTATAATTACACTAAAAATATTCCTGTAATTTTGTGTGAGAAATGCTCGTATTATGTGATTGGAGTAATATCTATGGTTTTAAAACTGAATGTGGCATTGTGTTTGAATAGTTATAACAGATAAAAATAGTATAAGATTATAACTTTTATAAGGCATATAACTTTTATTTATATAATACTCCGTAATTAATAGAGGCAATACACATCCTCATTGATTCTGTTTGAAGTTCAAGCGTTAAAAAGGGATGTTATGACCGTTGTGGCCCAACAAAAAAACTACTGAGTATTTGCTGGAGAGATTTTATTCTTATGACTCTTGCTCACACCAAATCATCTAATGGTTCGGTATTCGTAATTTCCGGTGCAACTTGCAAGCTAGTTGGTAATGCCAAGAAAACTATGAGGTAAAAAAAGACTTCATCCTCCTAGAAATAGCTAGGATGGGGCGGATGCGGCAGGGCAGAGGTGCCGAGCAAACCAGACACCTCCTAGCTTGCCCAATTCTCGCACCCGCACTCGCCCATGCCCTGAGGCAAACAGTGTGAAACAACGTCTGCATTGGCGGCACCGGCACACCCACACATCTTTGCAAAGAAAGCAGTTCATACTCGTAGATGGAGCTTAGGGCTATTTCTATTCGCCCTGAATTTTTGCCACAACGCAGTCTTTTTATATGTAGGGTTAGGGGTTTTTTTTAATCTTGGATCAAGTACTTAATGCCCATTTGGTGGTGGATTTTGGAGATTTGTTAATACTCTCTTTGTTTCAGTGTAAATAATTGAAATATTATGGGTTACATTTAAGAAATCTTTTTAGAATCTTTATTTTTTAAATTATGGAATACTCACTGTTAGACACTTTAAGCAAACATGTAGCAAGAAGTATTCTAGCTTGGATGGTCATTAACACAACTTAATATTCAAAAAGTTAGGTGTTTGAACCCTCATGGTGTAGACTTTTGGGGAAAAAAATTTGTCCGCGCAAAAAAAAAAAATTGGTTTGGATTGGACCGGTTTCCTCCGGTTTGAACTGCTTCGCTGCCCATCCCGGTCATATGGACTGGACCGATTACAGCTTGTCCGGTACAATTTTTAAAACAATGATTAGGACATACGGAGTATAAAAATTTGTGTAAAAAAATAGTGTAAGATTATAACTTGTATTTATATAATACTCGGTAATAAATAATGGCCAACACACATCCTCATTGGTTACGTTTTGAAGTTCAAACATTGAAAAGAGATGTTATGACCGTTGTTGCCCAACAAAAAACTATTGAGTATTTTTTGGAAAAAATCTTATTCTTATCAGTTATGACCGTTACGTTGTTCACACCAAATCACCTATTGACCGGTAACAAGGGTACATAAGTACATTACTCTTTTCTTAATTAAAGATAAAAATATAAAGCATACTAGCTTATAAGGATAGTTTGAGTGGCAAATTATATTGCACCAAAATTTATGCATGCCTTTTCAGTAAATTGTTTTGTGTTCCAAATTAAACCTTTCATTTGTTTTATGAGATTTTTTCAAAATTCAAATAATTCTAGATTCACGGAGTATACGGCAAAGACAGAAATTACTCCGCATTTTTAAAGCTTAGTATCATGCATATCTAGTTCGAAATAATATTAGGCAGTGTTTGGAAATTGAAAATTCATTTTAAATTTTTGATTTCAATTTTATAATTTATACTTTGTATATTTTAAAATTTAAATTATGGGAGAATAAGAAAATAAAAGAATGTCACTCAAATCCAATTACTCCGTACGAAATTCCAAAAAAAAGATGAATTTCATCCCCGAGGAATCCCCCACCGAATGGATACATATAAGAGGTAAATTAGACTTTAATCGTAGATTGGAGCAAAAGAATAGAGCATGCACCTAGTGCTAGCAGAGACTTTATGTTTAACATAGTTGTCTCCTAACGCAGCTGGCAGGAATCGAACTCGAGTCTATTTTCTTGGCACTTCTTACTTTTACCAAGTGTGCAATGCGTACCGGCTCCATATGAATTTCTAAAATTCCAAGTCTGCATGGGTAACTCAACTATTACAAACAAAGGATGTCAAGCTCATTGATTTTAAGGTCAAATCTCGGCAGCGACAATGCGATGTTCTATTATTTGTAATAGCTTCTTGTACGCATCGGGTATAAGACAGCCTCTCTAAGGACTAAATTGAGATTATAGGATGACTTACCTCTCTCACAATCCTATCGGGCCGGGGTATGGGGCGCTGAGGGCGAGTGTTCAGTGTTCCACCTTCTAAAATTCCCAAGAGATGACATTAAAGAAGTGTAAAAGACAAAAGTGGTCATGTACATATTTTTATTCTCGAAATATAAGTTAAAATGCATTTACATTACCAAAAGTGGTCATATAAATTACCAAAAAGTATAATAATGTGTATGCGTACAGTGTCACATTACTTTCACACTACTACATCGCGAACTCCTATTTCAAGAATAAAAACATAGAAGTCTGACTTTAATATTTTTTTTATGTTTTAGTCTTGGTTGATTTCTGCTTAAAGAATTACTCCCTCCGTCATAAAACTTTCTTCCCAGAGCACTATTCCAACTTCACTGGAATTTATATTTATTTGTGTTTTTTCATGGCCTATATGATAAAATAAAATATTCTTGTCACCACTTGTTTTGTTGAATTTTTGATGTAGTTTTTAAATATGTATGTTTATTTTTTATTTCTATACCAATATTCAAATAAAATAGATTGAAAAAACTTGAGATTTTTCTTCATTTTGCGCAACGGGAAGAAAGTTTTAGAACAGAAGGAGTATTATTGTCCATCCTAGAGTGGTAGATCCACCTTTTAGCTTTATGTTTTGTTTTTCCGAGTTTTAATGATGGATACGTAAGAAAGAAAGAAAATTAGGGAACGCGCAAACGGACTGACTTTACAAAGCAAAAGCAGCGTCTCCCTCCGGCTCCAGCTGTGTGTGGACTGTGGACTCTCTCCCTCCTCCAATCACACTAATCCCTTTTTTTCCTGTCAAACTGTTCACAACCGACTCCAAGAAGATGACGCCGCGAAAAAACCCCCCTAATATTTCTCCCTTCTCTCTCTAATCCTCGCCTGCCTATATAATAATCTCACGCCTCCTTCTCCTCCTTCTCACCGCTCCAAAACCCCACGCCTCCTTCTCCTTCTCACCGCTCCAAAACCCCAGATCCAGTTTTGATTTTCAATTTGAATCTGTATATTTGTTTGCTGGGATAGATATATATGGCTCAATTTACAATGATTACGGCTCTCCTCTTCTCCTTGCTGCTCAGATCTATCATGGCTCAGTCTCCTTTAGCCGCTCCGGTGTCGGTCGGAGTCCCGGCAGCTGTGGTGGCGGCTCCAACTCTCGCCCCTTCAGCCTCACCATTAGCTTCTCCGGCGGCTTTTACCCCCGCTGCCTCCACAAACTCACCTGTTTTGGCTCCAACATTCGCCCCATCTGGTTCCCCGTCGGCTTCAACAACCCCCGCGGCCTCCCCTGTTTCGGTCCCCGGTCCCGCTCTCGCGGTCTCGCCGTCCGCTTCCACCCCCGTCGCCACCAGTTCGCCTGTTGCGGCTCCGACTGTCTCCCCGTCCGCTTCAACCCCCGTCGCCACCAATTCGCCTGTTGCGGCTCCGACTCTAGCGGTCTCGCCGCCGGCTTCGACCCCCGCCGCCTCTACCATCTCACCTGTTGCGGCTCCCACTCTCCCAGTCTCGCCGCCGGATTCGTCCCCCACTGCTTCTTCCGGTTCGCCAGTTGCGTCTCCGACATCTAGCCCTCCGTTGCCCGCTTCTGATTCGCCAGTGACCTCCCCGCCGGCTCCCACTGCACCGGCAACTTCCCCTGTCTCCAGCACGCAGACTCCGATTGGAGCTCCCATTGGCGCCCCTGACTCTGCTACCAGCGGCTCCGCCGTGAACAGAGTTGCCCTCATCGGATCTGTCGGCGCCGCTCTTTTTGCTGCCGCCGCCTTGATGTGTTGAGTTTTCTGATTTTACTGCAATTTTTTTGTATTTATTTTACTTTTGTTTTCAAGAATTTTTATGATTCATATTTACAGTAGTTAGATTTGGAACTTATTAGTCGTATAATTACTGCGTATGGTATTTCACATGTGGTAGGGATGATATGATTATTTACCATCTTATCATTATTTATTGTGGTATAAATTTGTCACCTGAATAATTTTCCTTCTTATTCATCATGTTTATTATGGCCCCGTTTGGTATCAGCGTTAGCTATTAGCATTAGCGTTTTGAAAAAGCTATCCGACGGTAGCCTTTAGAGTTAGCGTTTTCAGAATTAATCTACACCATTAAAATTTTATCCAAAACGCTGTTCCCAAACAAAGCCTATATTAGGGAAAATACTAGAGTCAAAAACAAATACGGATTAGTTCACAAATTTGTCTTTTGTGGATTTTAAATTAAAATATTCTTTATTATTTGAGTGTATCTTTTATTAAACTCTTCTCATTAATTATAGTGATAATTAATTATTTAGGTCCAAGAGAAATGCTAATTGCGAATCCGTTTTATCAACCTTTACCATTAATTTTTTTAATGATAGGGTATTTTTGTCCTTGCGATGAGCTTTTTTAAGCAAAAGATAAATACTACCTCCGTCCTATTTTATAATGCCTGTTTCGGTTTACGATATTTGACTGAAATTATTTTCAAACCATTTTATATGACAAATGGTATAGAATTAAAAAATAAAAATTGCATATTAAAAAACTACTCCGTACATCAAAAGATCTACAAAACTAGTAGTGACAATAATATTTTATTTTATCAAATTGCTAACGAAAATTAATAAACAAAAGATAAATAAACAATTAGAACAAATTAAAGTATTTGGGGGTGAACCGTTCAATTCTATTCAACGCAAGAAATCTCTACAATACAAATTGACATTTTTACACATGAATTTTTAGCATTCTTTGATCATTCGTGGGTCCCCCAAAAAAAATCTCTCCTTTCTTTTTTCTTTTGACTTTTTTGATCAAATAGTGATATAATAAATTATGAGGAAAACATATCAAATTATAATATATCTTTAATATAATTAGATTTTCTTAAGATATAATTATGATATATTGAATTTTTGTACTCCGTATCATTTATAGAGTATTTATTTAGATTTTGTTTAATTGCCAAGAGAAGGTGAATCTTACTTTGCTCCATTAGCTGCTGGTGGGTTATTGATGGTAGGCAGAGGCAAGGAACTCTTTTTTGTGCATATGGCCCAATTTTTCTTCCATAAATTCTGTCTGGTCAAGGGCTGAAGAAGCCCATCTAGTTCACACCAAAGATGACTCCTGACTCTTCCCAGTTCCATATGAGTATCATATATTAACACTTGTGCAGGAAGTAGACTAACTGATTAAAACACTTTTTAGTGGTAAGAGAGTCTAACAATTACTCCCTCCGTCCCTAAAAGAAATTTCTTTATTCAAACGACGTGCAAACATGCATACAAAAAAAACTTATCGAGAGACGTAAGAATAAAGAGGTGTGTCATTTTGGGAAAGAGGGAGTAGTTAATTAAACACAGATTGAACTACTAATGAAATCGTTAAATACCAATTATTTGATGATATGTCTAAAAAGAAAGGAGAATTATTTGGAAATCAAACTAAGTACACTTACATTTTCATTTCCATGGTAAAAGGACTAAATCATACTCCTTCCATCCCAAAAAGATTACAACAATTTGACTTTTTCGATCAAATGGTGCAATACTTTGACCATAAATTATTAAATGCTTGAATAACTCAACACCCACTCATCAAGTTGTAAAAAGTCATATGTTAAAGAAGATTGATATATCAAGCAAGCAGGATAGCAAAAGTTCATGTGAACAAATAGATTAGAGGTGTAGCATTGAAATACTAAACCAAGAGAAGTGATGAAACCGGCTGTGCTGATCGGAGAAGAACACCGAAACCGACCCTGGTTTCAATCCAAAGTTGCAGAGCACCAAGTCGACCTGCTGTCCTTTTGAGTTTTCTACCTCCTTGTCCGAACCGAAGAACCTTTGTCCATCCACCGACCAAGAGCCCCATCCAGACCAACACCAATGAAGATGTCTCATTCATTGTGTAAAGGTGTAAAATGTCTTAATTCCACTAGCCACAATCTTCTTGCAAATCTCAGTTGCCAGGCCAGGTGAATCATGTAAGCCATTACAGCTTCTTCATTGTCCTTGATTGATTCCAGAGCAGACATTAGATCATGGAGTATCTAAAATACACATCCCAGAGTCATTCATAGAATATTTGAGTAACTATTATATATGAGGTCTGCACCAGTGTCAACCTGAACATAACTGCAGCATCAGTACTGAAAGATAAAGAAAAAAGATTCAACATCTTCACATGAATTTTTGAGGAACAAAGCTGTATCAATGAAACAAGCAATAGCAAAAGAACATGTAAGAGCACTGGTAATGGTTATGAAGCCCCGGGGCTTCAAAATTTCTCTCTCTGCCACGTCAGCTTTAACTTACACCCAAAATTCACTGGAAATGGGTTTGAAGCCCCGGGGCTTCAAAACTGGGCTTCAAACCTTCATTTTTTACATTTTTAAATATACATCTTCTAAAATTAAATTAATAAAATGTAATTAATTTATTATTTAATTAAATTGAAACACGAATAATAAAAAAATACATTCATTAAATAAAAAAAGCGTCAATAATTTAAAAAACGATACATTAATAAAAAAAACTAAGGTAAATTATATTTCTCCTTGATCTCTCTCATTCTTTGCTCATAGATCATTCGTCCAAACTCCGACAACGTCCCGGGGTCGGTTTGCATGACTTTCATCTNAGCCTCCTGCTCCTTTAGCTTCAACTCCTTCTCCTTTAGCTTCAAGCTCTCTTGTTCTTGGAGATTGAACGCCCGAAGTTGTTCAATCATTGCCCGACCGATTTCGTCGCGAGGAGAAGCGGAAACAGAGGCGGACCCTCCCGAACCCGAGGCAATGGATTTTGCCTTCTTTCTTCCGATCGGCCGTGGAATGGGGTCCTCGTCATCGGAATCCGCAACGTTGAAGGGAGGGATTTGATCGCTAGAACCGATAGTCTCGTCGACCTCAATCTCGGCGTCGACGGTGGATCTTTTCCGGAACGATCCGCCGTCGGGATTGTTGAGTTGTTGCCACTTCGGGGAACGACTCAAAATCCTCAAAAGATCGATGGGCACCTTGCCTTGGTTCCCGTCGTCTTGATACCGGGTCGTGGTAAGCCGGAGAACATCGGCGTCGTTCGTGCCGCTCCTCCGGGACCGGGAGCATCCCTCGTAAACTCCCATAAACTTTCGGACTTTTTTGTTGATGTGGCTCCATTTGGAAGTGAGTTGGTCCCGGGTTCGGTAGGAGCCGTCCTTCTTCATCGCCGTGAAGAACTTCTCCTCAATACGATCCCACATCGCATCCTTCGTTTGCTCCGTACCTTTAAAAATGTATTACACAATTTTTTTAGACACCATTAAATATAATATATAAAAATAAAAACATAAATATATTACAAAAAATAAATTTTTAACCAATGATAGGATGCTCGGAGACGCCAACCCAAACCGACGCTAATATGCACTCCTCCTCCGGCGTCCACTTTTGGATTGACCGTGACGCCTCGGTCAACGTGCTTTTGGCTTTGTGGCTTTTCCGGCGTGTACTTTTTTTCGATCCGGACGGTTCCGGTTGAGTCTCCGGAACCGAATCTCGGTCGACGTACCCCGACTGTTGCGTCTCGTACATCGGCGGTCGATCGCCCAACTCTTGGTAATACCACATCGCGGCGTCGACGGGCGGGAGATCGTCGGGAAAGAAGCCGGAACCGGAAGGATTCATGTTGAAAATTGGGAGGGGGGGTTTGAATTTTGAAATTTAAAAATAAGAAAGAGGAAGAGATTGAAGAGAAGGTGTGAGAAATTGGTTTAGGGGGGTTGAATTTATAGGAATTTTTTTTTTTTTTTTGAAATGTGGGCTGCAACGGCTTTTTTAGCCGTTAGGAGGGAGCCGCGCAAGAGTCACGCCTTGTCAAACGAATGACGCAGACGCCCTCACGCCCGTTTCACGCCGGCGGGGGGCGGTGTTTCACGCCCCGTAACGCCGGTGGGCGTGAGGGGTATTACGAGTGCTCTAACCTTTTTCTTGAGATAGGCAAGGTCATTCTGGTAAGCCTCAAGTGGTGTATCCACTCCACTATAGCAGGTATGAATAACATCAGGGTGTGCCTCTATAGCGTGTACCTGGACGAACCTGTCCTGGTCGCTAGGAGGGACACCCCGCACGCGGAGGGGCGTTCATGTTCTCAACCGGCATTTTGCTGCAGCTGAGATGCATCATGGTCTCAACGCAGACCGTATTCTCTGCCCAAAAAATACCAACACGAAATGGTACAGAAACCAACGGAAATGTTACTGAAAAACAATGTTTGAAATAGTTTAACTTTATTTTCGTTCCGAACCCGAACCAAACCATTTAGAATGAATGCATGATAGGTCTTGTATTTTTAAAACTGAAAAAATATCGAACCTTTTGATTAGTGCTATAATTGATTTTTAAGAATATTAGGTATTTATAAAAACTTTACTTTTCATTCATTTGGATTTTCATAATGTCAAATAGGTTGTTCTAGAAAAAATTCTCAATTAGGCCAAAGAGGTTACTGGACTTAGGTCACGTTTGTTTCAACTTATTCTTACTACTTATTACTCACTGAAATCAAATCCGAAACAACTTTAAATATAACTATAATTTGAAATTGTGAGGGCCGAATCGCATACAAATAAAATCCGTCAACAAAAACCCTTTTTTTTTGTTTCTTGCAATGAAGAAAGATTTGGAGTAAAGAGGACCGTTCAAAAAGGGACATAGAAACAAAACATTGGCGGATGAGAGGGAGACTGCTCCCTTTGTTTGTTTGGGCTGGCAACGGGAGTAGATTGGGTGGGTGGGGTTAGGCACATTCTGAGAATGCATTAAAAATCATACACCTTCAGATCACGATAAAAAGTTGGACCAATGAAAAAGCCTATCAACCTACAAAGTAATGCGCCAAACTAGAAGTTTCATATTTGATCTTAATTCAGTTTTATTTCTCCTTCAAATAAAACTATCGCTCTACTTTTCTTTTTGCATCCATCCAAAAATTATGTTTGCTTAACACAATTTGAAATCTTCATTTCAATGGTGCATATTATATTTAAGCGCACATGCTTTGCTTCCATTTGATAATGTGATTGGTAGACCAGGTAAATGCTACACCAGTTTAAGGTTCCCAACTGAGCTTCGAAAAAAAAACACCCGGCATTACAAGGTAGCAAGGAATAAACATAAATACTAGGATAGTTACGGTTATGTACGGATCTTACCCGACCTAGGCCGCTTCGAGGGACCTGCACTACTACTTGGTCCAGCCTCAGTGACTGAGTCGTCGTCACCTTTATCCGTATCTGCATAGCTTGCCTCCCTTTCCAACTCTTCCTGTGCTTCACGTTTCTCTTGTTTGTCTGCGCGAAGCGTTGCCTTTGAATGCAAAGCTTCCTTGATATTCATCAAGGCTTTGATTTTACACTCCTCCTCCTCTTCATCCCCTTTGAATATGTATGCTACATCCTCGAGAGCTTTGGAGATCAGCTTGGTTGCAACCTCACACCTTCCACTTGTTACAACCACTGTGTCTGCAAGAATAAGTGAGAAATTCCCAGGCTTTGGGTTGCTGGTTTCAGCCTGCAGATTCTGAAAACCCAGAGACACATTAAAGACCATTCCTTCTTTCAGCACTTTATGATTATTTGCGTCTAACCGCAATCCCGATTCCTCAAACTCAAGACCGGTTCCTCTTCCTGCTGATTTTGTCAAGTTGCTAACCAGTTCGGGTGCATCCCTCTCAACCACAGCAAGCGCCGCCCGATAAACGGCATTGATCTTATTACCTGGCTCCAATGCAGCGATTGCTGCCTCTTGGGCTATGCAAAGCACTTCATAAGCCCTGATCTGCGTTGAAGTCGGATCAATAAGAAATGTTCTAGCAACATTTGAGCAGTAACAGTTGTATCGGGACCCAACAGCACATACAATAGCGCTGCCAGAATCATAGTACAGAGTTTCATCGTTGCTTATAGCACCGGGTCTGAGATCAAATTTCCCACCACTCTGAAGATAGGCGGGTAACAAATATCAATTTTCTCAAGCCTCAGCAGAGCTTGCTCTCTCTCGTCCGAGAATGAAGAATGCGTTGCTTTTTTCCCACCATTCTGGCAGATGGGCAGGTAAATAAAACGAACACCCTTGCCTTCCAGCACAGCCTTCTCTGTCATCTTCGAGAGTGAGGAATGTGTTGCTCTTTTCTCTTCATCTATGATCCTCACAAGCTTTGGAACAACAGAGTACTTCAATGTAGAAGCAGACAAATATGCAGCTTTCCTCACATTCATTATCTCCATCCGATCTTTCAAAGCTAAGATGTCAGATATTCCATGTGTTATATCACCACGCGGAAGTCCAGAATTCTTTAACTTATCAGCCCACATCTCAAGGAGTTTACCTTCAGGAGCCTCTTTTGCGATGTACCCAACCACAGGTGACTTCAGTTGTGCGCGGATTGAATTGAAAATAGCATCCATCTGTGTATTCCCATCCTCATCAGTCATTCAGCGTCACATTAACACTTTGTTAAAAATTTTGCTGTTTTGTTCAGATGTGTTGTGTTTTGCTATGTTCGCTTATGTTTTGTTCTTCTGTTGTATTTGTTAAAAGAAATACATTTGCATCGATTATTATGGAATAACTAATGCAAAAGATCCAGTTCTGGGATGCATATTTTACATCGATTATTTCATGGGTAACACATGCAAAGGTCTTTCATATACTCCATCCGTCCAAAATTAAAGTCCCCACTTTTCTTTTCGGTCCATCCACAAATAATGTTCTCATTTCCTTTTTTAGTAAGTTTTACAGGGTTAAAAGCGCTTCTGCACCGCTGCCTCCGCCGCTTCTGCACCGAGTCAAAGAAGTAGATTTACCTCTCGTCCGTGTTTTGAAGGGATAGGAGGCCACAAGCTTGAAGTCACGTACTATGACCGGCAGGTCCAGATTTTGTACCGATTGATTTTTTCTAACCCAACCGGTGGTGTATTTTTATTTTATATCTTCCATTCTCATCACTATTTAAATAAGCATCTGTTTTTAAAAAAAAGTTTAAAAAAAATATGATTTTTTATGTGAGAAAAATATGCATCATAAAAGCAGTTGTGTATATAAGATTTAGCCAATTATACTTTGTCGGGTTCATATTGTACACGTGGCTAATTCTGAGGTAGACATAAGATCTAGCGACATCATCATTCACCATAGACTTATATATATGGGCAAAATAAGGATTTTCCTACTACTTCAATAAGTTCATTTTTTAATAAAAAAATAAAACAAATTCTTTTAGGGAAAACAAGCACTCTCTATACGTTGTGCAAAAAACATTTTACATTTGACTTCACACAAAATTGAAATACTCCTTGTGTCCCAAGATGTGTTACAATTGAAACAAAACGAAGAAAATTTCAAAATTTCAAATTAATTTCATTTAAAAATAAGTATAGAAATTAATAATAAAACTTACATATTTAAAAACTGTTTAAAAGAGTATAAAATAATAGATGACAAAAATATTTTATATTATCAAATAATCAATCAAAATATACAAATAAATAAAAATTTTCGTGCCTTTTAAATAGTGAAAAATGTTACTCTTTCCGTTCCACAAAACTCTTCCTCTTTCGGTTTTTTTGATTTCCACAAAACACTTCCACTTTCTATTAAAAAATCACTTTTACCCCTACTTTTTCATACCCTACCTATCACATCATAGTTTTTTCACTAATAACCAAACTATCACATCTTACTTTTTCCCATTACATTAGGGGCAAAATTGGAAAGTCAACTAAAATTACATTTTTCTTATTTTTTCCCAAAGTCAAACTGGAAGGATTTTGCGGAATGGAGAGAGTAATTTTTTGAGACAAACGAGCAAGTAAAATTGTGTTGTTCAACATTGAGAGTGAAGAAGAGAAAGGAGAAAATAATATGGAGTATGAGCTACAAGAATTTTCTAAAAATAAAATGTGATTTGTTTAGACAAACAAAAAAAGAGATTTTAAAGATTTATTACAATGGGACTAAGATTCAACAACTACTGAAAGAGAAGTCTTACTTTCCGGCCATATACAAAGCACTCCGTAAGTCAATTTGTAGCTCTAATGCTTTGATGCATCATCTCCAATCAGATTAATTAAGGTCCTCCCATGGCGGTTAAGCACAGAAAGCTTTTACCCAACCAAAATTCAACCTGTCTTGAAGGTGATGGATGCTACGACCCAGCCTACGGGGACTATTTCCTCCCTCTTCCGCCGCAGCCGCCACCCCCGCCGCGGTCCAGCACTCGCTCCGTCCGCATCAACCAGAACGCCGCCATCGCCGGCGCGGTGGTCGCCACTCTCCTCCTCCTCGGCTGCTACCTAGTCGTCGTCAAGATCTGTTTCGGGTGGATCCGGAGAAATCGCGCAACGCAAGACTCGCCGGACGGGGAAAATCAGGAGTTCGTCGACGAGAGCCGCGGCGCGGTGATGGACCACCCGATCTGGTACATCCGCACGATCGGACTTCAACCGTCGGTCATCAACACGATCACGATCTTGAAGTACAAATCGGACGACGGGCTAGTCGACGGAACAGATTGCTCCGTTTGCCTGAGTGCGTTCCGGGAAGACGAGATTCTCCGGCTGCTCCCGAAGTGTAACCACGCCTTCCACATCCGTTGCATCGACACGTGGCTGAGATCGCACACGAATTGCCCGCTGTGCCGCGCCGCCGTTGTCTCCACAACCGCAAATCGGACTGGAAATGAATTGATTCAAGAGCCCCAGATTCTTCAGTTGACGGAAATTGGGGAAAACAGAGAGACGGCCGATGAAGAAGAAGAACCCGATGCTCACGGATCTGGTGGCGGCGACGAAGATCGGAAAGTAATTGAAGAAATTCGTGTCAAGAGGAGGTCGTTGTCGGTCGATTCTTCAATGGCCGGGAAGTTTTCAGGCGGAAGATTGGATCCAGGAGGCGGTGGGAGTAGCAGGAATTCGAGGATGCCGAGAACGGTCGGCGGCGGTTCAATGGCAGAGTGTCTGCACAAGGGGCCAGTTTTGATGAAGAGGCCATTCTCGTATGGAGGAAGGTCTATGTCTTGCAGACATTAATGCTCCCTCTCATCATTTTGAGTATATTATTCAACCATAGCTTTTAATTTTAATACTCCTATTTTTAAATTCAATTTGCATTATTAACAATTTATTCAAAGCCTCAATGTGATTATGCTAATTAGAAAATTATGATTCAAAACAAAACCTAGCACAAATCAATCCTAACTACTTGATTGTTTTTAATAGTAGTAATTTTATTACAATATATACTCCTCTCTTCCTTGATTAATTATTCATCTAGTTTTAAATTCTTGTAATTAAAATTAATAAAATTTGGCTGCTAACTAAATATAGGGTAAAATTAATAAAATTTGGCCACTCCATAACATATTTTATAAATTTTATGTAATCAATGATCGAAAATTCTTGAAAATAAAAAACTAAAACGAGACAAGTATTCAGACAAAGATATACTCTCTTTGTCTCTTAAAAAACTTCATATTTTGACTTTTAAAAGATTTAAAGGAAGTTTATTTTGGTATTGATTTTCGTAAAATGTTTTTTTTGATGTGATGGATAAAGTATGATGAGATGGATATATTAATAGAGAAAAAGTGTGATGTGATGGATAAGTTAAGAATTAATACGAGTAAAAGTGACTTTTTCATAGGAAAAGAGAAATATTTTTGGGACGAATGAAAAAAAGAAAGCGGAAGAGTTTTGTGGGACGGGGGAGTATTATTTAGCATTTTAGATAACTTTACCATGATAAATTCTCTTTGTCCCAATTTTGATTACAATTTCATTTTTCTCTCCTCTCGATCACTTTTATTTATTTGTGTGTTTTTATTGATTATTTGATAAAATAAAATAAACTTGTCACGTCTTATTTGTAGAACTTTTGAGATAGTTTTTAATATATAATTTTTTTATAGATGTACCAATTTATAAATAAAATAATTTCAAAAGGCATAAAACTTTATTTCATAATTCCCAATTTGTAAAAACAATTGGGACCGAAGGAGTACATTTTTTAAAAAAATATTCCGTAATATATAGTTTAATTTAAATGTATTATTGCTAAAAGTTACTGTTAATCCCAAACGAATTCAGAGCGTAATTCTCTAACTCCACAATTGCTGATTTGGGCTGTGGGTATTCGATACACGGGAGTTAAATAGGTCTTATGTTCAAAATTGTTTGACATATCTCGCAAAACAAAATAAAATATTAAAATTTTTCATCTTAAAAAAAACAAGTTTTTCAAATTTATTTATTTAAATTTTAAAAACTACATGAAAAAAATCTTCAAAATAATAGGTGTCAAAAGTATTTCCTTTTACGTGATAATCAATAAAGTTGTATAAATAAACAAAATTTCTCGTAACTGTTGAAAAAAAATTATTTTTTTTTTGAGACGGATGAAGTACATTAGTACGGAGTATGTATTTTTGGAGGTAATGGACCTCAGTTTTTATGGCCCATTCCGTCGCATTGGTACATCATATTCAAGCCCAAGAAGTACATAGGAATCCAAAATCAAACTATCTCGAAAGTCAAAAATAAAATGACTCGTGCAACAATGCAGTTTCACAAAAGGTGTGTTTGGAAAACAGTTTTTGGATAACTTTTGGTACTTTTGACTTATTTTGACTTTTAATTCTTACATGTATAAAAAAGAAAAATAAAGATCGTGTGTGTCTATATATTTAATTTTTAAATCTTAAAACAACTATTTTTTCAAAAAGTTAATTTTACGAAACATTTTTAACGTTTAGCAAACACATCCTGTCAGTCAAACCAGCTAAACTAAACAGTCATTCTTTATATATTGCAATCCTTCGTTATTATTATTCAAGCAATCAATAATAAAATATTCTATTTATCTCTTGTTTCTCTTTTTTTGAAGCTCGGAAACGCTATAAGTTTTCCTTTTCTTTGTCTCCCCTTTCTTGGGGCTTGAAGACGCTCGAAATTCTTCCCTATTCGATACGATATTCGTATCATATTAACGAGCGATAATTAGGGTACATGTATTTATATTAGGGAATTTCTGTGGTACCTTACGAAATGAGAGGGCATTCATGTCCCTGCCTTGTGGATAAATAAATTGAGCCTTAATAAAATATAGTCCACATTATATTAACTTTCACAAATTGCAAATGACCCCATGTTTTTTCATCTTTTAAACTCATCCCAGAGAGCTGTCTTCCGTTTTCGTTAACTTGTTTACGGAGTAATTTTTCTGCACCCCTTCCTTGCCGTCACAGTGCATCGCACCAAGAGACTCCAGAACACCTTCCTCTACGTCAACCACAAAGTAATAGTCTCCACTCCATTTGTTGATCTTCAATTTTGGCATTCAATTTCCAACCCTAATTAAGATATAGCATATTCTTTCTTTAATTTTTGTTTGGAACAATAGATGGATGTTAATCCACTATCTATGCCTTTAAGAAACCAGCAAGTGGGTGGTTTGTCTGCGATGGCGGCCGGCGTGCTGCGTCTTCCTGGTGCGATGCACTGGGACGAGAGTATATGTACAAAAAGAAGAGAGAAGAGGAAGAAACTGATCGAAGAAAAAGAAAATAAAAAAACTAACGGGGCTTGGGGAATTGTTACCACACGGCAACGGGAGACAAGGCGTGCAGAGATTGAAGAGTTTAAAATATAGATTTGGGAAAAAGGGTGTATTTTGAAATTTCAAAAAAAATATTATGAGGTGGACACTTTTAATAAAACTTATATTCATCAGTTCAAATGGCAGCCATTGAGTGGAGGGACGTGAATGCCCCCTCTCTTCACAGGGGGAGCAGTTCCCTGAATGGGAACTTTTTAGGGAGTAAATTCCCAACCCAAACAATTGCATGTTGTACATGCGGTTTTTTTTTCTTTTTTTTTTCCAGAAATTTCGCATGTCATACATGCTAAAACATCAACATCAAGTTCCTTTTCCAGATGGTACCACGCAAGTGCAAGCTTTTGACAGTTTTTTTTTTTTAAATTATTTCGCATGTACTACATGCAAAACAAAATGTCACTATTTTATTAAATAATATCTCCCCAAATCCATATATGGTTCCTTAAAGATTATATAAATAATATTATATATTTTTATATATATAATTTCTTTACATATCATTAAATATGTATTATTGAAATTTTTGAATATCAACATCAATAATAAATTTAAGAAGAAAATATGATTAAACATTAATTATAATGAACCATTTTTAAGAAAGTACACAACATAAAAAACACATAGAAAAAAAGTACAATTATTTGAACACATAATAAAAANACATCTCTGAAGCATGGATTCGACCCATCCAACATTTTTTATAAGAAAATGCAACGTTGAATTCTTGAAGTAATTCGTGTTGAATGAGTTTCACTTTGTACTCCGGGTCAACCCGTACTTTGTCAAGGATAAATCGACCAATAAACATGTAATCCATATTGTAGTCGTTACCTCCGTGGGAATAATCCGGATGACAACTGTGAACATCATTGAATTGCTTCAAGCGCCACACTCCAGAGGATAGTTGTTGAGATTGAGCACGCCAAAAACAACGTGGTTGTTTGGCATGGTACCAACATCGACAAGCCCATGAACGGGCATTATTCACTCTAAGGGAGGCCCGACATAAACCACTAAATAATCTTGCAAGTACAGCTGAACCCCAACTAAAATTCGCAATCGTGTCAAAATCTCCCAGATATGATACAAAATCTGTAGGTGCAAAGCGGCCAGATGAGTCTGGAAACAAAAGACCAGCCAAATACCCATAGATGACCCGAGCTGTGTATTGCTCCACCTCCCGATTTGTCCATCCAGCATTTACTATTTCTAGGGCCCGCTATCTCTCTCCATCTCTCTTTCTCTTTCCATGTCATCCATTTTTGCACTACAAAAATTAAATAATAAAAAGATATTTTTTTATTCTTAATATTAGTGCATACAAAACATATCTATTTCGAAATATATATATATATTCATGTAAACACTATCTAAAAAAAATATATTCATTAAAACACATAATTTAGAACAAAAAATTTTCCTACTATTTTATAAAAAATTCAAAATATTATGGAGCACATAGTTGATAATATATAAACATAATCTATAATGAAATAAAAATGAAAACTAATAAAAACTTAACATTTATAATCAATATTATTAATATTTTAAAGTTAACTGAAATATAAGTAATAAAAAAAATACCTGAGAAATGTTGAATGTAATGGAGTAGTGTGAGGATAAGTTAAATTTGAAGAGTGATTAAAGTAGTGGGTGAAGGAGTAGTTTAAATAAAGAAAAATGTGAGTGAATTAAGAAGATGAAGGGGTGAGTGAAGTTAAATGGTTGGGATGGGAGTGGTTGTAATGTGTGGTGGAGTGGAAAAGTAGTGGAAAAGGGGGGTTTTAATGAAGGGTGCCGTGGTGGAGTGAAAAAGGTGGGAGTGGACTCTTTCTGCATGTAGCACATGCAAACTGGAAAAAAAAAGGTTTCTCGCATGTAGTAAATGCGGTTTCACCCGGGCCAACTTTACTGACAAATTGTCAGTTCTGATTTTTTTTTTTAATTTTTTTGGGTTTCGCATGTAATATGTGCGATTGTCCTTCTGGGGAATTTAATGTTCCACTTTAGGAAATATATTTTCCTCTGAGGGAAACCACCCCTTCACAGGGCACGGGAGAAACCGCCTTTATATTATAGCTTCTTTGGTGTCTTGTAATACGGAGTACATATGTCTATATATCAACTCAATTTAGCATCTTCCATTCCCATCTAAAATACGGAGTACGTAGTAAGCTAAATCCACTTGATTTAGACCATGAGAGAGGATAACAAATACGGAGATGAAGCGAGGGCAAATACGAATTTTCATCAAATAATAAATCTTGGACAAATAATTAATATTATCATATACGGATCATTTTTTTTAAAAAACAACAAACCTAAAACCTGAACGTACAACAAATAAACTCCTCCCTTATAATTTATCTTCTAATTTCCTTATTTGTCCGTCTATAAATTATCTTCTCGTTTCTTTGTTTTGTAAATATTTTTTCTTAAACCATATCACTACCGCACCTTTATCCATTAATTACTACTTATACTTACATTTTATTTCACTTTTTGCAACGATCCAAGGATAAATATGAAAATTCCAAATAGTTTTTTTTTAATTTTCGTGTAAAATCAAAATAAGAAAATAATTTCAAAACGGAGAGAGTAACGAATAATCAAAACAGGAAATGATCATCAATAGGTGCCCTTTGGGAAAACTATATAAACATCGATCTCAATCATAAAATTCTCACTAAAAATGTGTAGCTAGAGTTCACCTTATTACCTAAACTATAGAGTAACTTTTCTATAAAAGGTTATGTGAAAATTATCACAATTACTAAGAAATCAGTAATATCTATCTAATCTAATGATTGTACTCATGAACATTGGATAATACTCCCTCTGTCTTAAAACTTTCTTCCCAAAGCACTATTCTAATTTCACGGGAATTTATATTTATTTGTGTTTTTTCATAGCTTATATGATAAAATAAAATATTCTTGTCACCACTTGTTTTGTTGAATTTTTGATGTAATTTTTAAATATGTATGTTTTATTTTTTATTTCTATACCAATATTTAAATAAAATAGATTGAAAAAACTTGGGATTTTTCTTCGTTTTGCGCAATGAGAAGAAAGTTTTAGGACGGAGGGAGTAGTGTACGTACTTACTCAGGGTCGTACAATCAATATAATTAAGCAGCATCTTCACCCCGTCCCCATGTGGTTTCCTGTATCCCCACTTTTTCCCCCTCCTTTCTCATTGGCTTTTTTTTCAGACAACACAATGTTGTCACGTGCAACACAAAATCAACTTGGTAACTGCAATTATTGAGACTAAGTTTTTACATAGACACAATTAATTATTTACATAACCCTTTCTTTAAATTATTCTCATTAGTTATTTATTCTCTTTGTTCTTAAAAGATGTATTTATTTTATTTTGTTGTACACCACATAAAATACTTTTATCTTATCTCAAAAGTTTAAAACACGACCAAATAACTAGTTCAAATAAGATCAAATTTTATTTCAATCATATCACAATCAATTAGATAAGATGAAGAAGATATGATCTAAATAAATATCAATATAACCCGCTGATTCATTAATTAATACACCATCTGCCCATTTTTTTCCAACTATTATTACGGATTTTCGTAAACTTATGTTTGCATTATTTCATTAATTGTTTGAAAATAAATAAGTTAACCTTATAACATCTTATTTTGTTAAGGTTTTGATATAATTTTAAGTAATGAAATTTGCACTCTTCATTGATACGGAGTATACAAGTATTTGGGGCGGGATACTCCTTTCATCCCATAACATAAGTAAAAATAAAGTGTTAGAATTCGAAATTACGAGCATTACAAAATAAGGAATACTATACATTATTATGAGTGTTGGTGCTCTAAGCTACCGATCTCCTTGCCAATAATCAACTTGCATGAGATATAATATGAGATAGATATTATTATACATTTCAATATTATGGTATAAGTTCCCTATTTGATTGATATAAACAATGGTATAAGACTACACAATAAACGAAAAATTAGTAACTCAATAAGGTGAAATCTGACTAATGAAAAATGGAATATGACAAGTGAAAAGAATTCTATAGGGACTTCGTTCCTCCCTCGTTGGTCGAATGAGTTGAACATAGTCCAACGAATTGTCTAGGTACGAAGTCACTCGAAGATTTCTCTACGAAAATAAAAATATTAAATAAAAGGATTCGCAAATAAAAGAGCTAGTTCAACGAAATCTCTAGCGACTATGTACGCAGGTCGAATGAGTTTCACATAGTGAAACGAATTCTCTAGTGACTTCGTACCTCAAATAAAAGGAGAAGACTACACAATAAACAAAAAATTAGTAAATCAATAAGGTGAAATTTGACTAATAAAAAATGGAATATGACGATAATTTCGAAATGGAGGAAGTAAGTGTAAAGAGAGTCGCATTTGTTAAGGTGTTCTTCTAAAAGTCCATTCATAGCAGCCCATCTGTCATTAGCTCAGTTGTCTGTATGTGAAACAGCATGTGAACCATATATTTTGATTCTTCGTCTAGAAGTCTATGCAAGCGATTTGTGGTTCTTTAGGTGTTGATGTTTTCATTTCCTATGGAGGGAGAGTCTATTTGCCAGTGGTCAACTGGTTAAATTTAAAATGCAAAAGATTGTCCCACATTGGAAATTCAAGAGTAAAAATAATCGGCATATAAGTTCTTGAGTTGAAGTCTAGGGATGGCAACGGGTCGGGTTCGGGTCGGATAGTACTATACCCGAACCCGACCCGACTTTTAAAACTGAAACCCGAAACCCGATCTTTTAAGCCAATAATCCGACCCGACCCAAACCCGTCATTTCAACCCAAAACCCGAACCCGACCCGAACCCAACTTTTAACCAATAATCAATTCGACGTACCCCAATAATTTTGAAAAGATTAAATCTAATTTTTTTGTGTCTCTTTTTTATGTCTCATTTTTATATTAAGGGATTATAAAAATGATTATAAAAGACATACTTCATATAGTAGCACTTTGTCAAGAAATTTTACGGAGTGCTCATTATATCCATAGATAGACTTTTATGTAATACGGAGTACTACAGTAAAATATTCGGGTTTTAGTTGGGTCGGGTTCGGGTCGGGCAAAATTATAAATCCACACACGGCCTGACCCGATGTCGGGTTCGGGTAAAAAATTTTGGGTCGGGTTCGAATTATTTTATTTTCGGTTCAGGTTTGGATATTTTAGTAGTCGGTCGGGTCGGTTAAGCTCGGGTTCGGGTTGAATTGTCATCTCTAAGTTGAACTAACTAATTGATTAGATTTAATCTTCTAGTGTGGTTCAATTCAAGTGTCTTATCACCTTATCCAGTAATTCTTTCCCATCATAAATTCTTTGAGTAAGAGTATGAAAGTAATTAAAGGAAGGAGCTAAGCTAAGGAATTACACACTAAAGTGGGATAATTAATTTAAGTTTATTAAAGTAGAGATCAGAAGAATGAAAAAAGAAGAGAAGAGCAGCTAATAATAATAACCTAGGACAGGGAGGAGGAGTATTATGTAAAAATGTGGATAGGAAAGATAAGCTAATAAGCTAATTAAGGTGCAGCAGGAGGAGGAGGAAGAGCTTCTTCTCGGATAGTGAGGAGCAGTTGGTGAACGGCGTCAGCGATTTCGTCAACTGTGCTCAGCTGGCATCCTTCCTCTACCTGTCCATTACATATATGATCCATTTTCATTGTTAATTAATTAACCCAGGCCCCCCACTTTCACAGCGCAGTAAAAAACAATAATAAACATAAATCATGGAGTACTTTTTGTTTTTATTAAAAAAGAAAATGTTATCCAGAAGAGGCTCTTTATTGGAAAACGGAAAGTTATAAAATCACACTTTACTGTAAAGAATTTTTTATAATGTTTTTGTGAGTAAAATGTTATCCAAAATTGTAGGCTTCATATTTGGTTTTAATTAGAAGAAAATTCAACCTTGTTTATTTTTTTTTCACAATACGGATTTATCTTTTTTTATATTAACAACCATGATCCTTAGAGCGCCAATCTATTTCGTGAATAAAGATTAATTTGCTTCCTTTGAAATATTTGCCCTAAATAGCACTAAAATTTAAGTGATTATTTGAATAATTTAAAAAAAAAATCCCGAGACTCATTTTTTTTGGAATGCTATCTTGTGACGGAAAGTACACATTTCTTTTATTATGGACTGAATGCAAATAAGTTTAATGGTGTAAATAATGCATGACAAATTCATTTTTAGATGGGATTAATACGTACACACTCCATTCTAAAACATTATTTTTTCATATAATTATTCGCACAGTCAAACTTTGAATACTTTTATACTTATTTTTATTAATCATCAAAAAAATAATAATTATTGTAGTCATTTCATCACTTATTTTCTACGGAGTACAAAGTATATCATTAATCATTCAATATGCTCCACTACAAAACTTCTAAATACTGAGTATATATATAATTCTTAATTTGAAATTTTACTATGTATAATTAAATAAATTGAATCTAAAATAATTTCAAAAAAATGAATAAGAAGTTATTTTAATCAAACCTCCTAAAACAGAAAACAAAAAAAAAACGGAATATTATAGAGGAAAAAAAGTGAGAGGGGAGATGGGGATAGGACCATACAAACATACCTTGAGGGTGAGGGAGTAGAGGACCATGTGGTCAACAGTGGTGACATTGAGGTGCAGGACAGTGAGCCACAGACACTGTAGACGGGCCACAATCTTGAGAAGCTGTCTTGGCCTCTTCTCCGACAGTATCTTCACGCTCGCGTGGCTCTCTGCCATTGTCACCTCGATGTCCGCCAACTCCGACCGCTTCTCCGCCGCCCCCGCCGCCGCTTCATCCTCCCCCGCCATCGCCCCCTCCCCGCCCTTCCTCCCGTGGGCGTTCGTGTACTGGGGGAAGGTGAAGAAGTCGGCAAAGGGGGCTGCCCGTGGCAGTTCCCCTTTGCCCGCCCGGGCGTGTCCCTCTAGGGTTTGAAGGTGTTGCTCCAACTCCTTCACATAGTTTATGGCTCCTCCAATTATTGATGCTTGATCTCCCTGCCCATCATCATTTTTATTTTTATTTATTTATCCCCCATTTTCTTTACATATTTTTCCATGACAAAACATCAAAGTTTTTTCAAATTCATTTTATTTACATATTAGTATAAAAATAAAAAATTAAATTTACATATAAAAAAACTACATTTCGAAATAATAAGTGCCAAGAATATTTTATTTTATCAAATAACCAATGAAAATGTAGAAATAAACAAAATTTTTCGTAACTGCTAAAAAAGCAAATGTTGCAAATAATCTCGAACAGAAGTTGTATATACTTAGAAAAAATTTTACTCCATAAAATTTACTGCAGGAATTGTCATGAAAGATGGCAATATGGACAAAGATATATTGTCACTCTCATTGTCACATTCATCAAACTGCGCACATATTTTATTATATTGTTCCATGCAGTGCAGGCTTGTTGAAATGGACAATTTATTTAATTTAAATAAAATAAAAAAGGAATTCTTCTTTGAGGATTTTCTTCACACCCTTAACAGTAAATCTAAATAAGGTATATATTGTCCCAAAAAGATTAGATATGATGACCAGTCAATATTACCTTCATTCTTGAAATACTGCTACATTTTTTCCTTTTCGGATTTTGGAAAACAATTGCAACATTTTATACTGTTGATTTTCAAAAAAAAAAAAAAAGATTCTCTCTCCTCAAAGCAAGCAATAATGTCAAAATCTTTCCGTCTTTAATTTTTGTTTGTCCCAAAGTTATATGTACGGAGTAATTATGCTAGCTAGTGACTTTTCAAGGGGGAGGAATATATTTAATTTAAAAGAGGGGAATTTAATGGACTAACCCTTTGGACATAGGACGGCGGCATGAGGGAGCGGATGACGGCGAGGTACTCGTTCATCTGCTTCCGGCGGTTGCGCTCCACCGCAATGTGAGTCATTCTCTGGCTCTCCAGTTCCTCCTTGTTCTTGTACGTCCGAGTCCGCCGCCGCTTCCGCCTCCCGCAGGAGGAGGCCGCCGGGCGCCGCTCATCGTCCGCGGCCTCCGGCGACGAATTCGCCTCCGCCGCGGCCCAATCCCCGTACTTCCCACAACTTTTGCTTTCCAAGCTGGCAGGAGTGACATTATTATCATCGGCTTCTAGAAACGTCCCGAGAAAAGCGGCATCCACTTCTTCGTCAATTGCTTGGGCGGCAGTAAAACCATAACTGCAGCCTCCGTAAAACTCCTTATTACTGCCGTAAAATAACGATTCTTGAGGGTAGATTACGGTTTCTAATGCCATTTTTTAATTACCTCCCCCACAAAACTCACCCTATCCACAGAGTTAAAATCCTATGATAGAAGAAGCTAGAGAGGTGATGAAGCTATAAGCCCAGCCAGCAGCAAAGCAGAGCAGAGGGGGGACACAATAAATAAATAAATAAACCCAAATAAAGTTAATTGGGGTAAAGTGAAGCGGGTTGATTCGACTTTATATAGAGGTGGCCACATACTAAGCAATGATTTTGTTATTTTGGACTCACATTATATTGTGACCACATTTCTTTGTTGTCCTAAAGTTAAAGATTTTAATTTGACTTTGTACAAAGTTTATAACTAATGAAATTGTGTTTTTTAAAATTGATGGATTTAAATTATACCTGGCCTGAATAGCTGATAAATGAAGAATCAGAATATGACCCACTAATATTTTAGTAGTGGGTGCCATGCGACCAATATTTTAGCCGTGCTTGGAGAGAAGCGGGAACCGCTAGGAAAAGTGACCGGTCATGTTTTGGTGCGGAAGCATCTTTGGTATATAAGGTAAAGAAAGTGTAAATTTTACGTGTAGTTTTGTATTGTTAGTTTAATTGGTTTTATGTTCAATTTGTAATTTGTTATCAAACTTCTTTTGATCTTTGGTCCTAGTTTGTACTCCCTCCGTTCTCAAAAACACTTTCTCTTTCATTTTTTTCACTTCCAACAAAACACTTCCTTTTTCTATTAAAAAACCACTTTTACCCTTATTTTTTCATACCCTACCTATCACATCATACTTTTTCTCTAATAATCTATCTATCACATCTTACTTTTACCCATCACATCAGGAACAAAATTGGAAATCAACTATAATTCAACACTTCCTTATTTTTGCCCCAAATCCAAATGGAAAGTGTTTTTCCAAACGGAGAGAGTATTAATTTTTGTTACTAAGTTTAATTGGCTCCCAAGTCCCACATGTTGATGTTGTTTGAACAGCATTATTTTGTATAAAAGTTCGAAATTGTATTTGGTACATACTCCCTCCGTCCTAAAATATTTGCAACGTTTGCTTTTTCAGTAGTCGCGGAAACTTTTGTTTATTTCTACGTTTTCATTGGTTATTTGATAAAATAAAATATTCTTGACACCTCTTATTTCAAAGAACTTTTCATGTAGTTTTTTTATATGTATATTTTATTTTTTATTTCTATACCAGTATGTAAATAAAATGAATTGAAAAAGCTTAATACTTTGCCTCGGAAATACAAGTGTGGCAAATATTTAGGGACGGATGGAGTAAGAAAAAACAATGGGTTTTGTATGGGCGTTTGATAAGAAGTTGAATTCGAAATCGGAACAACAATTGAATCAATGCTCATAGTAGGATTGGCAGCAAGAAGAAAGGTTTACACATTTATGGTATTATTATAGGTTTTCCTGATACTCATTTTTTGCATCTACTTAATTAAGATCCATGATAGACTTTTATATGAGCAATAAAGTATTTTTTTTATTATCAGTATAATATTTTTTAAAGACTAAACAAAAAACTTGTGAGAAAGTCTATGTAGGGTGGGCGTTGACAGGTTGTAGACAGTACCTTATGTTTATGTTTTTTAATAAAATTATCCTGAACTGCGATGTTTGGTACGGTAGTCGTTCAAGCTAAGTTAATTGTTTTATAGTATATGGAATAATAATATATATCTAAATATATTATTGTGTTTATTATTGAAAATTTAAATATTTGAAAACATATTAGAAATATTTTAAATCATACAAAGGAAAAAATGGAAATTCAAATCAGTGGAATAAAATATGAATAAAGAATATTCAATTAACCAAGAGATTAGTTAATGATATGTATTGCGTGACAAACAATTTTGGGAATAAATACTATTTCCGTCATAACAAAATGTTTTAATTTCGTCAACAACAAAAACAAGAATGTTTGAATTACAGATGCAATTCTGTTCTCTTTTATATTTTTAATACTTGGTATATATTTTTTAAAAAATAGATCAAATAAATTATATTTTTTTAATATATCTTCTTTGTAAAACGTTCTGTATACTCTATCCATCGATTGATTATTTATAATTATTATTTAGAATTATTCCCTCGTTTCTCAAAAAGAGATCTTATTTTGATCAAGTGTAAAAAAAAACGTTTTAAATTATAATTGACTTCTAATTTTGGTCTTGATGTAATGGGTAAAAGTTAGATGTGATGGATAGATTATTAGAGAAAAAATATGAATGGATAGGTAAGGTATGAAAAAGTGAAGGTAAAAGTGGTTGTTTAATAGAAAGTGGAAGTGTTTTGTTGGAAGTGGAAAAAATGAAAGAGGAAGTATTTTTGAAAACGGATGAAGTACTGGTTTACGTAAGTACCAAATGCAAATTCACGTACTCTTGTGTTACAATTTATGATTAAAATTTGATTTATCTTCTTTCGATTAGGTGACTGTCTTGTCGGTTCTCAAGAACCCTCAAGGATGGATTAGTTCATCTTTTTTTATAATAATACTCCCTCTGTCCTAAAATGATCTTCTCAGTCATGGTTCTGATTTTGTTACGCCAATGTTCCTTCAGACAAAAATATCTTTTAAATATTGGGTGAATAACTTAGCTGCCTTCTATGATTTTAGAAATATGAGTCAACGCCCCCTTTCTTTTTTTCTTTATTGTTTTTGTTTTCTTTTTGTTCATAAAGAGAAAAAAATTGTGTTTGAAATAATAAAATTTTGTTTTTTCAAACCTACATTTTTAGAAAATTTTTTTAAAAATAAAAATTTATTTGTGTTTGAAATAAAAATGAAAAAATATTTAATATATACTTCATCGGTTAAATTAATATTATTATTTTTTGTCTAAAAAAGTTTTTATCTTTTTGTTCATGTCGGGACAAAAAAATACTGAGTAACGTCTTTTTAATATATACTTAATATATTAATAACATTTTTTGGACAAATGCGCAAAAGGTTTCCTTCATAACTTAATTTTCCCTATTCTATAAAATAATTTTTTCAGATACTTTTCTTTTTTATTTTCTTTTCTATTCTTGTTTCTTTTATTCAAAATTTGATTAAAATAAAAGAAACATTATAAAACTAATGAACAAAAAGTGAGAAATGAGCTTTTGTGAAAAAAGAGAATATTTCATTGTTTCCCGTATCATGAAAATGAAACAATAAAGACCTCATTTGGAAATCATGGGCAACGACTTAAGTTCTGAAACCATATGCGGTAACAATGCATATTAATCAAACCACACGAGGGATATAGTGCAATAAACTCAATAATATAGTCATATCACAAAAGTGTTTGTGGACTTTTTATTATATATTGGTGTAGCTTTTTCATATATACCACAAAAAAATTCATATATCTTTTTAGAGTAAATTTTATACTTCCTCCGTCCCAGAGTATTTGTCCAATTTGACTTTTTCAAGTCAAACTGGACAAACTTTGAGATTCAATTAAATAAAAACCGTAAAGTATTTTAATATATAAATGACTTTATTGGATTTATCGTATTGAGAACTTTCAAAATTGTATTTCATTAAATTAATATATAATATAAATTAAAAGTAATTGGAGTTCAAAGTTTGTCCAGTTTGAATCGAAAAAGTCAAACTGGACAAATACTCTGGGACGGAGGTAGTAATTCATTCTTTATAACATGAGAATTTCCTTATTTAGTCTTCTATTATCAAATATTACCCCGGTGGTTCTTTTTTATGGTAATTTTCCATAAATAGTCCTTTTTTGTTTTCTATTGTGTTGGTGTTAATTAGAGTGTTAAAAGCATAATTTCATAATGATAATATATTTTTCTTGTTATACACAACCAAATTAAATGACACTTCTGATGCGTCGTTTGTGAAATAAGTCGCTTTCTACTATAACCATAGTCTATAAATGTAGTTTTTTGTCAGAATCTTTGCCACAATCATAGTCATTATTTTGTGTTATCCGTCTAACCATGTCAAAATACGTCACTGGATATAAGGTTGATGTCAAACTATATCTTTAACGTTGAAATTATTACCAACATGGCAAAGGATAAAAAAGACTATTTGTGCAAAGACACTCATAAAAGAAGGACTAATGAAGTAATATTTAATAATATATGACTAAATATAAAAACTCTCATGTTATAAATAACCAATTATGAAATTTGCTCAATTTTTTATATTGTTTGCGTATATTTTTTCTAGCATGAAATTAAAACTTATCTTTCCATATTTTGTAAAGTTTGTCTAACTCGTATTATTGCACTCTTATTTGTACCATTTTAAATCTCACAATTTCTTTATTACTACCTCCGTCCCACTCTTTTTGTCCAGTTTTGACTTTTGGAACTGTTCATCTAAGCATTTTGACTCATCAAATTCTCTCAATGTGTAAGTCTAAAAATAGTCATGTATGATCTTGTTTGATTTGTCTTAACATATAGATTATTAATATATAATTTTTATAATTTTTTGATATATAAATTATAAGATAAAATGGATTAAAGAAGTGCATTGGATGGTGTGCAAAAATGAAGGTGGACAAAAAGAGTGGGACGGAGGGAGTAAATGTTTGTGTTTAGTCAAACATGGAATGTTTTTGCGGGATGAATGAATTATGTATATGAATTATATGAAGCATTTTTTAATTTATACCAATTACTTCCTCTATCCCAATAAAATTTTCTTATTTTTTAATTTGTCTTAATATAATTTCCTCTGTTCTACTCTTTCCACTCTAATGTTTGACAGAGACAAGTTCTAAAATACTATGTCTTTAAGGAAAAAAATGATCTATTACATAATTCAAGTAGAATAAAAAAATATTATAAGTAATTTGAATAATAATTGAAATTATCAACCATTATCCAATATCTGTTGTTAATGACCACGCTCGTAGAGTTATTCGTATAATCAGTCATTATCCAACACTTGTTGCTAATGAGTCATATATAACAGTTGATATGGAATTATGTATCATAAAAGAAATAAAACATATTTTGTTCTATCTAGGGAAATATACTATCTTTTAGTTTTATATGGAATAAATTTTTCTTGTTTCTTCCAAAAAAAATCTAACTAATAGGGGGTAATTTTTCCTATATCTTTCTTATTAGAGCAATGATAGGGGTACACCAAAAGGTGTACACGGTGTACCCCATTTGTCTCACACCTCTTTATCCACCATTCAATTTTATTTTATTTTTATTTATTTAATTTTATTTTAGTTTCTTGTCTTTTTGTGTGGTGATGGAGGGGGTGGGGGACAAATGGGGTACACCTTTGGTGTATTATTCGACGGAGAATTGTTAGTAAAGTTCAAAGGTAAAATAGTTTAACCAAAGATAGTAAACGATGTACACAATCAATTGAACCAGAGTGTGTACTTTTAAAATACTTTACTCTTTAGAACCTAACGCAGTAAAAAAGCTGTATTCCCAGCAGAGGGGTAATTTGAAATTATCCCCCCATCACCGGACCCACTAACAGATGAGTGGCCCCTTCCTTCTACAGCCACCACGAGGTGAAACCATCACCGGACCCACCAAAACAAACTCTTCCACAAAGTTGCCCTTCCAAAGTTAATTATTGCTAAGTCATGTTACATCTTGTTTTGTATTATTTTTAATGTTATTTTTTAATAGGTAAAATCATTTTTTAATTGTATCCTAATTTTTTAATAAATTGCATTCAAAATAATTTTAGTCAAAGATAGTAAACCGAAATAATATATTTAAATTGTGACCGATGGAGTTCAAAGTAAGATTTAGAAAAACAAGCAAGGTAAGAAATGTAGTCCGTTGTTAGTTTGACTAGTAACAAGAAGCATATTATATACTCCCTCCGTTCATAAATAAACTTTACATTGCGCGTTACGATGTTTGATTAAAATTATTTTCAAATCATTTTATATGAAAAACGGTGTAGAATTGAAAAATAAAAATTACATATTAAAAAACTATATCAAAAGATCTACAAAACTAGAGGTGAAATGACTATATTATTTTATCAAATGGGTGACGAAAATAGGCCAACAAACTGAATAAAGTTTGAACATGTGAATAGTGAACGTCAAGTTTATTAGTAGACGGAAGGAGTATTTATATGGAACATGAGATCGAATATACATGATTTGACAAAAGATATAAGAGTAATAATAAAAAGTGCACTCCAAAACATTTCATTTCTTTTCATTTCAAGAAAAATGCATTGAGTTGTTTGATACATCAATAATGTAACGTAAAAGAAAGAAGCTCGATAAAGAGATGTACTCCCTCCGTTCCTAAATATTTGTCACATTTATATTTTCGAGGTAAATTATCAGGTTTTTTTAATTCATTTTATTTACATATTGATATAGAAATAAAAAATAAAATTTACATATCAAAAAACTACATGAAAAGTTCTTCGAAATAAGAGGTATCAAGAATATTTTTTTTTATCAAATAACCAATGAAAACGTAGAAATAAACAAAAGTTCTCGCGACTATTGTAAAAGCAAATGTTGTGAATAAGAGTGAAAAACGTAACATATTGCATTTGTAACGTACGTACAGTTGCCTTAATTTGGTACGTGTGACACATACATGTACTTCCTTCATCTCAAATTATTTGCCACATTTGATTTTTCAACAG